TGTTTTCTTTACATTGAGATGCGATCCATACCGAAGGCTGTGCTCTTTGATCTTCATCAGTAAGTATTTTAAGTCCTCTTCACTTTCAGCAAGCAAGGTTGTATCATGTGCATATCGCAGGTTGTTAACGAGTCTTCCTCCAATCCTGATACCATGTTTTTCATCATAGAACCCAGCTTCTCAGATTATTTGCTCAGCATACAGGTTGAATAAATATGGTAAAAGAATATAACCCTGTAGCACACCTTTCTTAATTTTAAACCATTCAGTGTTCCCAAGTTCTGTTCGAACAGTTGCTTCTTGGTCCATGTACACGTTCCTCATAAACACAATGAAGTGTTCCAGAATACTCACACTTTGCAATGTTGTCCATAGCTTGTCATGATCCACACAATCGAAAGCCTTTGTGTAGTCAATAAAGCACAAGTAAACATCTTTCTAGTATTGTCTGTTTTCAGCCACAATCCATTGGACATCAGCAATGATATCCCTCATTCCATGGCCTCTTCTGAATCTGGCTTGAACCTTTGGAAGTTCTCTGTCAATATATGCTTGCAGCCAATTCTGTATTACCTTTAGTAAAACTCTACTCACGTGGAATTTCAAAAATATCATCCTACGATTTCCACATTTCGTTGGGTCACCCCTCTTTGGAATGAGCACAAATACAGATCTCTTCTAATCAGTCAGCCAGATAGTTGCCTTCCAAATTTTTTGGCAGAGATGAGTGAGTGCCTCAAGTGGTGCCTCACTTTCTTGAAAGATTTCAATTTTTATTCCATCAATTCCTGGTGTCTTGTTCTTTGCCAATTCCTTCAATGCACCTTGGACTTCTTCCTTTAGCATCATTGGCTCTTAATCATATGATACCACTTGGAATGGTTGAACATTAGCCATTTCCTTTTGTTACAGTGACTCTGTGGACTTCATTCTTCTTGGATCAACTATCAACACTCATGGAAGCATCAGTCAAGAAATCAAGCAATGTACTGCATTAGACAAATCTGCTGCACAAGACCTTTTTAAAGTGTTGAAGAGCAAAGATGTCAGCTTGAAGACTAAGGTGCACCTGACCCAAGCTATGGTATTTTCAATAACCTCATATGCATGTGAAAGCTGGACAGTGAATAAGGAAGACTGTAGAAGAATTGATGCTTTTGAGTGATGGTGTTGGAGGAGAATATTGAAAGTGCCATGGGCTGCCAAAAGAACCAAAAGATCTGTGCTGGAGGAAGTGCAGCCAGAGTGCTCCTTGGAGGCCATGATGGCCAAATTTTGTCTCTCATACTTCAGACATATTGTCAGGAGGGACCAGTCTCTGGAGAAGGATATCATGTTTGGTAAGGTGGAGGGTCAGAGAAAAAGAGGAAGAACACCAGAGAGATGGATTGGCAAAGTGACAGCATCAATGGGTTCAAGCGTAGCAACAATTGTGAGGTTGGCCCAGGACCGGTCAGTGATTCGTTCTGTTGTGCATAGCGTCGCTTTGAGTTGGTACCAACTCGGTGACACCTAACAATACATTTGAATTTGAAAAAGGTGGAAACGAATCTGTCTAATACCAGTGAGAGCTATGGAATGAAACTATTGATGCAATGAAGAGAGTTGAAGAGCTCAAACAAAAGTGCAAACCTACTTTTATAATGAACAAGTTAAAGAAAAATAAAAAGCTGCAGAAAATTCATGATATCAAAGAAATTAAGCAAAATATCTATCTTATCCAGGCTCTTCTTGCTGGCAAAGGAATGCAGCTGGAAGAAAAACTAGTATAAAAATTACAAGAGGATGTGGATGTGAAAGAGGCTTCTTAAAAATCTCACTAACCATTTTTCTATGTGCATTTGAAAACTCCTTTGGAGACTTGGAACTTCTAAATTTTTGGTTCTTTTTTTTACACAAAGTCACTCAAATGGAAAGTGACTTAAAAATGCATCTCTCCCACATTGCTATGTACTAAACATTAGATATTACAGATGTTCAGCTGCATCCCAGTGCTAAATCTTCATTTTGTAAATCATGAAAATTCTATGTGTAATTACAGGAGTGAATTGTGGGCATAAATTGGTCCACAGTTGAATAATGCACTTGGTAGCATTTATGTAATTACAAAAATATCATGACTGATGATATATATAATAAAATTTTATTTGCAATAAAACCCACCCACACTCACACACAAAAGAACTATTTCCTGTGTGTCCAGAACCCTCCCTCCCTCCCTATTCAGCTACCCAGCAGAGGTTGTTAACCAATAGCTTACTTATTGGTGGTGGTGGTTATGTGCCATGGAGTCGGTTCTGACTCATAGCAACCCTGAACAGGGTTTCCGAGGCTGTAAGTCTTTACAGAAGTAGAAAGCTTCATCTTTCTCCCGCAGAACAGCTGGTAGTTTTGAACTGCTGACCTTGAGGTTTGCAGTCCAATTCAGAATCACTACGCTACCAGAGCTCCTTAGTACCCACTGCCTTATTCAGTTTTCGGCACAGGCTGAATATGGAGGCTGGCCCCTATGTGGTGCTACCAGGGAAGACCTGTTCCTCAAACCAGGATCCTGATAGGAGGGTACATCTCTAGAGTACCTCAGATGCCTCTGCAGTGGACTTCCCCATGGAACCAGATGTGTGCACAGTATGGGGAAAGAAAAGCAAGGAAGCTGCCCACAAAAATGGAACTATGCAAACGAGAAAGCTTGCCCCTGTTTTGAAATCTGGTGGAATCCTCTTAACTTCTCTCGATGTGGCACTACAGGATAAGCAGTGAACCACAAGCTTGGTTTGAACTGCATGGTTGGTGCTTCAAACCCTCCAGCTGCTCCTTGGAAACCCTCTACAGGGTTGTTATGATTCAGAACCAACTCAATGACACTAAACAGCAACAATGCACCTTAGACTATAAGCACAAGGAGACTCTGCCGTCTGTAGCATGTCTCCCCTGCACATATTTTTCCATACTCTAATAAACTTAATACTATGTGTCATTACTTTCCAGTCTTCTATAGACTGACCTGGTATCATAGCTTCATAGATTATTTCCTCAGCATACAAATTGAATAAGTATGGTAAAAGGATACAACCCTCATGCACAGCTTCCTGATGTTAAGCCATTCAGTATCTTCTTGTCATGCTTGATGACTATCTCTTAAACTATGAACAGGTTCTTCATGAACACAGTTAAGTGTCCTGGAGTTTCTGTTTACAATTGTATTCATAGTTTGTTAAGACTGGTGGATTTGAACTGCCAGACTTGCCATTAGCAGTCCAGTGCTTATCCTACACCAGGTCCTATAGGGTTACTATAAGGAGCTCTGGTAGCGTAGTGGTTATGAATCAGACTGCGAACCACAAGGCCAGTAGTTTGAAACTACCAGAGGTTACAAGGGAGAAAGATGAGGCGTTCTGCTCCCGTAAAGATTTACAGCCTCGGAAACCCTGTACAGGGTCGCTATGAGTCGGAACCGACTCCACGGCACATAACAACAACAACATAGGGTCACTATAACTAGGAATTCACTGGATGGTAATGGATTTTTCTTTTTGTTTAGGGCAAGAACTAGTTTCCTTCTTAGTGATTTTCCATCTGCAGATACTTCGGTGACAACTTTTACCAGTCTGCTCATCTACTCATTTTCCATATGTTCCAAAATTTTATTGACATTTCTCATTTAATGTCATCTCTCCTCTGTTTCCATTGTTGACTTATTTAAAAATTCCTTCGTAAATATTTTCATTGGATTTGAGAAGGAAACAACCCACCACAATTTAACAACAGTCCTGTAGCACATTCTTTAGAATATCTTAAGTGATGGCAATTCTTTGTTTTTTAAGAACTGTTTTAGTTTTGGGAACTAGCCACAAGTCTGAGAGACCTGGGTGAAATTGTCTTTCTAAGCCTAAAATCTCCCAATACTCACCATAATTATTTTTCTCTATTTCAGGAAGTGAGTGCGCTAAATACATAAATTATGGCTACTGTGTAGACTAAGGAACTCTGGTAACATAGTGGTTATGAATCGGGCTGCAAACCGCAAGGTCAGTAGTTCGAAACTACCAGCTGTTCCGCAGGAGAAAGATGAGACTTTCTGCTCCTGTAAAGATTTACAGCCTCGGAAACCCTGTGCAGGGTCGCTATGAGTTGGAACCAACTCCACAGCACATAACCACCAACCATCACTGTGCAGACTAAGGTGTGCCTGACCCAAGCCTTGGTATTTTCAATAGCCTCATCTGCATGTGAAAGTTGGACAATGAATAAGGAAGACTGTAGAATAATCGATGCATTTGAGTTATGGTGTTAGAGAAGAATATTAGAAGTACCATGGACTTCCAGAAGAATAAACAAATCTGTGTTGGAAGAAGTATAAGTCTGAATGCTCCTTAGAAGTCAGTATGGTGAGACTTCATCTCTCATATTTTGGACATATTATCAGAAGAAGCCAGTCCCTGGAGAAGGACATCATGCTTTGTAGTGGAGGGTCAATGGTTGGCACAGTGACAGCAGCAATGGGCTGAAGTGTAGCAACAATTGTGAAGATTGTGCAGGACTGGGCAGTATTTCTTTCTGTTGCGCATAGGGTCACTATGAGTTGAAATCAACTCAAGGGCACCCAACAACAGCAACAACCACAGTGTGCATTGTAATTCAATAACATAATCTGGAATATACACACAACTTTCCCAAAAGGATAAAATGCCTACTGGTCAAATTCCAAATAAAGGAGAACATTTGTGTTTTGGAAACAATTCAATTTCCTGATTCTTTCTGAGCCAAGTATTTAAAAATACAATTTCATCATTTTCCTATAGGCAATTCTTAGGACATTAGAATTTCTATCTTGAAACAAGCAAACAAAAAAACCTTTTAAAGTTAGTGGACCAATAAACAGTTCCTGCTTTCAACATAGTTCAAAAGGTGGAGTCTTCAAAGAAGAAGGAAGTTGAAAATTGTTAAATACTGAGACTAGCTCACTCTGGTCAGCCAACTACTCTGACTTCCCAGTAACCATGAAGGCTCTCCTTATCCTGGGGTTTCTCTTCCTTTCGGTCTCTGTTCAGGGCAAGGTCTATGAAAGATGCGAGTTGGCCAGAACTATGAAACGGCTTGGAATGGATGGCTACAGGGGGATTAGCTTGGCGAACTGTAAGTTGGCTTTCCTTCAAACTTCCACATAGTTCATTCAGGGGAGGATGAGATACTGGGAGAGAATGAATAGTAAGAAAGTGTCTTTGTATTTTAGTGCTGCTATAGCATAAATACCGCAAGGTGATGGCCATCACAAACAGAAAATTACTTTATCACATATGAGGAGGCTAAAAGTCCAAATTCAGGGTGCCAGTTCTAGGGGAGATTCTTGTCTGTTTTCAATATCTGTGGACCTGGTGTCCCATGAAGATCTCCAACTCTTGGCATCAGTGGTCCCCTGGGTCTAGGAGCTTCTCAGTATAGAGACATCAGGATCCAGAGGATGCTTACTACTCCTGGCTTGTCTGTCTTGGAGTTATTAGGTCTCACTCTAATCACTTCTGTCTCCTGTTATATCTTGCAACAGAAAAAGATGTGACTCAAACAAGGGTTTAAACTGTAGTAAAGGTGAGACAACTACACAACACTGGGAATCATGGTCTAGCCAAGTTGACACATATTGTGGTGGGGATGGGTAACAATTTAATCTGTAACAAAAGGGAATGGACTGTTTTGTTTTGTTTTCCATTGGGGTTTGTATGCTTAAATGGTTAAAAACACCAATTAATTCCTTTAAAATCAGAGGTAGCAGATTCAGGAAGAAGGGCAAATTTCCTACCGTTCAAATTACAATAGGACCTGTTGTACTCTTCAAATTCCTCTGAATTTGCCTATTGTTCCAGACTCCTCCATGGCACAAATAGGTGACTAAAAGATGCATTTGGGGACCTGGAACATCTCTGTTACTTCCTCATTACTTGACCCCAGTTATTTTCCATTTGGAGTTCAGCTCTTGAGAGCCTAGAGTAACATAGTTATGTTTTTTCCAATTCCTCTGAACGACATGGAATTTTTAACAATAACATTTCAAAAATTATGTTGTGTGGAAGATAATGAAAAATAGTTAATTAACCAGGTGACAATAGGAATCTATTGCCCCTCAGTAACTATTTTATAAAAGGGTCCCTGAAATTCAGCATGAAATTATTTTTAAAAATTCTATTCATCTGGTTAATTAACTACTTTTCATTATCTTCCACGCATTTTAAAATGTTCCCTGGGTAAAGTTACTTTATATTTTAGTCCATATTTAAGAATATGATCACTGTACTTTCCAAATTGAATTCAAATATGTCCCCTCAATAATTATCTTTAATAAATGAGTAAATTAATTAATTAATGGATAATGTATTCTTTTTCTATAACACTTGTCTTGCAGAGTCTGACTTCATATTTAAATACCCTTAGGAACTTAATGAAAATTTCTCTCTTTCAGCAAATTCTTAGTTTTTCTAATCAAAATCATTTTCCTTCAGCCTAGGAATCCCTGGGTGGTACACATGATTAATGTACGCAGCTGCTAACTGAAAGGTTGGAGGTTTAAGACCAACCTGGAGATACCTCAGATGAAAGGTCTGCCTAGCTACTTCTGGAAAAATCAACCATTTGTAAACCTACTGGACACAGTTCTCTGTCCAGAATACACATGGGGTCTCCATAAATTAGATTCAACACGTATCTCTGATGAATTTTAAAAATCCACTCAACAACTCTACTTTTCTATTCTAGGCTGAATGTTGCCTGAGGAATAGTAAAAACAATGGAAGAAACTCTCACCTTATTATTTAAATAAATATGTTATCTCATGCCATTAGTATTACAGAATTATTTGCATTAGAAAAAGGATTCTTTTAGGGGTCCCTTAACACTAAAGTGTTAAAATATTTCATAAGTTGAATATATCTTTATACTTAGAGTATAAGTGATTTGGTGTTGCTTATTACTTTTCAGGGATGTGTTTGGCCAAATGGGAGAGTGGTTACAACACCCGAGCTACCAACTACAATGCTGGAGACAGAAGCACCGATTATGGAATTTTTCAGATCAATAGCCGTTACTGGTGTAATGATGGCAAAACTCCAAGAGCAGTCAATGCGTGTGGCATATCTTGCAGCGGTAAGACAAGATAATGTATGAGTGATGGCACAGGATCCGTCTGGTTATACTTATTAGAGATTCAATACAAATGAAATCTTGGATAGTTTATCAGGGACATTGTAGAACTCTGGCTTAAATTGGAGCTATTTATGGATTTGCTTATCTGGGATAAAACAAACATTTGGTTCACCTCATATAAAAATAAAAATAACATAGAATCTCTAGTGCATAAAATAATGTTGCTGTATGCTATTGATTCGATTACAACTCATAGCAGCCCTGTGTAGGGTTTCCAAGGCTGTAAATCTTTTTAAGAGAAGAAAGCATCTTTCTCCTGAGGAGCAGCTGATGACTTTGAACTTGACCTTGTGGTTAGCAGCCCAATACACAACCCACAATAAGGCCAGGGCTCCTCACATAAAATAGTAAGTATTGCAAAATTTATATTATATTTTAAGTGTTAAATATCTTGACATTATTTAGTTTTAAAAGTTAGAATAGTCTTCTTTTAAAATCCAGTTAATGTAATTTAAAAATTAGTTTATATTAAATAATAATCTGTGGACACTGAATAAAAATTAAGAAATATTAAGAAACAAAATCACACATAATTTTCCTACCCAGAAATTTATAACCACTGTTAACTCAATTTTGGTATTTCCTATTATAAACTATGCATTCATTATATATATATGAATACAAAGCACTCTCAAGCATGTTTACCTACCACATAGAAACACGTCAGCATGTTTTTACAAAATTGAAAGTGTATTAAATATACATTGCTTTACAACTTGCTTTTTGTTTAAGGAGCCTCAGTGTGCAGTGTGTTAAGTGCTGTCATGCTAATCAAAAGGCCCGAGGTTCAAATTCACCAGCCGTTCTATAGAAGCAAGATGAAGCTGTCTGCTCTCTTAAAGATTTATAGTCTTAGAAACCCTATGCAACAGTTTTTCTAAGTCTATAGAGTTTCTATGAGTCAGAAGCAACCTGATAGCAGGGGGTTTGGTTAACTTTTCTTTTTTATTGTTTAAAATTATTTCCATGACAACAAATACAGATTTATATTACCATTTTTAAAGGATGTACAGAATTCCATTATATGACTATTACATAATTTATTGATTCAACTCCAACTGGAAACATTTATTTCTACTTTTCTCTTTTGAAAATTATTATAAAAAGGCTTATGTTGTTGTTGTTGTTAAGTGCCGTCAAGTCGGTTCCGACTCATAGCGACCCTGTACAGGGTTTCCGAATTATTCACACTCGGGCTATAAAAAAATACGTCATTTTTTACATAGTCTCTTTGCTTTTCAATATACTTTGTCCATCTGTCAACAAGCTTTCATATTCCCTTATTAAAAAGTATTTTAGACTGAGCTGTGAGCCACACATACACTACAGTCTTCACTTCATCATCAAAGGCGAATCTTTGTCCTCAAAGGGCTTTTTTTCAGGGAACCAAACAGGTGAAAGTCCATTGGAGCAAGATCAGGACTATGAGGAGGATGATTTAACACCTCAAAATGAAGTTTTTGCAAAGTGTCAACAGTGTGGGCAGAGGTGTGTGGACGTGCATTGTCATACAAGATCACAGTGCCCTTTGGTAGCAGTCCTCTGTGCTTAATCTGAAGTTTAAGCTTTAGGTCTTCAGTGAGCATCTCACTGTAATGAGCACTGCTGATTGTTGAACTTTTTCCTGGTAGTGCTCCGATACTGGCCCTTGAGAATCCCAGAAAACTTTGAGCATCAATTTCCAGCTGATGGTTGATTTTTGAATTTTATCTTGGTTGGCAATTGATGATGTTTCTGTTCTTTACTTTGTCGTTTACTCTCAGGCTCATAGTGATGAATCCATGTCTCATTACCAGTAATGATTTTTAAAAAGAAACTTTTACCTTCCTTTAAGTATCAATCCAAAATGTGTTTGCAGATGTCCAAACGCTTCTGTTTATGCTCTTCTGTGAGTTGTTTCAGTACCCATATTGCACAAATTTTTTGAAACCGAAGTCTGCTGTGGATTATTTCATAGGCAGAGCCATAGCTGATTTGCAAATAATTTGCCACATAATCCAGTCACTCATCTATTCTACAGAATCATTTCATGTGCATGCTCAATGTTGTCATTAGCTGTGGGCATAGGCAAGCATTTTAATATAACTAGAGTGCAGGTAAGTTTTGACTCACCCTTGTACATATATCCTTGGATTAATTTCTTCCTATGTCTCTGAATAATTTCCTAGAAAGGAATTACTAGACTTTTTTTCCCCTCCAGTGCCTAGTACCACCAGACTGGAGTCCTGGTGTTGTGCTATAGGATAAGCATTGGACTGCTAACCACAAGGTTGGCAGTTAAAATCCACCAGTCATTCCTTGGAAACCCTTACACAGGGTTGCTGTAAGTTGGAACCGACTCAATGGCACACAACAACAACAACAAAGTACAAACAGGACCCCGTATTAATTAATAACTAGTTAATAGTTCTAGAACTTCCAGTGACCTTGGTAAATGTCAAAAAGAATGTTTTGTTTTATGCCAAATGGGATGGAATGAAGAGAAAAATTTCCTCCTATTAGATATATGAACTCTTAGAAAATAACTTTCTGGTTCTTTCCTCAGTCTAGCAGAGTAAAACTAGCTGAACCAAAACTTATGAGATTTCTATGGAAGTTGTTTTCATTCCTCACTTCTTTTTTCAGTTTTACTGCGAGATGATATCACTCAAGCTGTGACATGTGCGAAGAGAGTTGTCAGGGATCCACAAGGCATTAGAGCATGGTATGTTCTAAAATGCTAAAGGGGTAAACTCTTTTATCCTACTGTTAATATATGCTGAGAGCTGAGTATCAAAGGCCAAAGTATACCATTAAATAACTAAAAATTGTATATTTCGGTTTATGTCAAACAATTTATTACCTCAATCCTTAAATAGACAATCTATGTTTAATAATTCAGAATCTAACTTTCTGCCTCATCAATTTACTTAAGGGGGATGGGGGCTCCAAAGTTTTTATGATTCTTCACACTGTACTTACTTGTTATATCTTGAAATTATTTTTAGAACAAGGAAATGTGGAATACACTTTATAGTTGCTGATATAGAATGCTCTTAACGCAAATGTTTGTCTTCTGCATTTTGATGCTCTAGTGAAGGCTTTAGGAAGGAGTGGAATGTGATGTATACATATCTCCATTTAATAAACAATAATAAAGGAGCTCTGGTAGTGTAGTGGTTACGAATCCGGCTGCTAGCCGCAAGGTCAGCAATTCGAAACTACCAGCGGTTCCGCAGGAGAAAGATGAGGCGGTCTGCTCCTGTAAAGATTTACAGCCTCGGAAACCCTGTGTGTAGGGTCGCTATGAGTCGGAACCGACTTCACGGCACATAACAACAACAACAAATGCCTGAATATACCGACAGCCTGTATTTTATTTCTTGATGAAACACTTTTTTCTCTTAGAAGATTTAAAGTATGTATATAACAACGAAGACACTTTTCACAGTTTATCTGACCTTTCCCTACAGGGTGGCATGGAGAAACCGTTGTCAGAACAGAGATGTTTCTCAATACACTCGAGGTTGCGGAGTTTAACTGCAGAGTTTTCATTCTTCAGCTCATTTTGCCTCTTATTAATGAGTATAGTCAATAAGTGAAAGATCATACCAACATTCTTTCCCCTTCAAATTAGAAACTTGTTTTTCCAGAAGCAGGCGCAAAATATTGGTTTCCCTCTAAGAGGTTTAATGACTAATAATGTGTGTACTACTTAATATTATGGCTGCAACATTTTTCAATTTGCCTAAAAGCATGACTGCTGGTAGAAATGAATCTAAGAGCTTGGTTAGCAAATACACCTCCAGTATATCTAGTTCTTAAAGAAATCACCCAGACTTACTTACACCTCCAGTATATCTAGTTCTTAAAGAAATCACCCAGACTTACTTCACAATATTAGATTAAAATGCAAATAAAAGACTATCTTAAAACAAATTGCTCTCAGAATCCCAGCTGTGTAGTCATATGATGCCTTCAACTGTACAGTCATTTCCAAAGGCAGTAAAAATAGTCACTCATTGTTGGACAATATAAAAAACTAAAATGTCAAATGGAGGAGAGACTGCTTGAATTAAGGATTTTGTTTTCATGAAGTCTGTGACCTTTGGTTTATATACTTTTTTTCTTAGAAATATTGCTTTATGCAGCTGAACATTTAGACTCAAAGTTTGTATTTCAATCTATTCCAGTCTCTTAAAAACCTTTCACATGGCCCTTACTGGTTATGAAAGGAATATAAAGTAGGGTTAAATAAGCTGTTTCTATTATTTAACTTTATTAATGTAGATTCATGCAAGACTAACTCCAGAAGGTAGATGAGTTTGAAAGTACTGCAATAATTGCTAATTAACCACATGTGTGAAATTATGCACAATAAAGGCTTTGCAATTCACACTGTGTCTGTCTTTTTTAAAGACTCATCTAAAGTCTCTGAAGGGAAAAAAACCTTGTTTTAATGATTTGGCATTCTTAATATATTTCCTCACTTGCACCAAGCAGGGGGCTATTACTGCAGAAGACCCCATACACACCTGACACTTCTCACTTAAATTCATAACTGCAAATCGTAAAACCAACGTTCAAACCTGCCTGGCCATCATAGTCATTTATCTGCAGTCCTTCCATGTTGGTGTCCCCTCTCTCCAAAATAACTTGTTTGTTTACTCATTTCCCTCTCTCTAAAGCCCCAGCACTCTCCCCGAAGACCTACACCTCCTTGGACCCTCACACATCTCATATTACGCTAAGAGAATAGAGGTCTCTTTATCAGGCTCAGACTCCACTATCTCTCATTAGGATGAGACCTGGCTCCCAACACACACACACACACACACACACACCTTCTCCTGTGTTACAGCCCTGACACAACATGCTGAACCACTGTCCTGACAGGAAGTGTTAGAGACAGAGTAGGACCCTAATAGCCAGCCTAACAGCACCCCAACACCTGGCACTTGAATCAACAATTGCAGGGAATTGAGCCCAGCACAATTCTGAGAAATAAAGCAGTGCTAGAGTCCTGGTGTGGCACTGTGGGTTAGTGCGCCAGACTGCAAAGCTGTTTGAACTGCAAGGTTGGTGGTTCAAGCTCACCAGCTGCTCCTTGGAAAGCCTATACAGGGTCGTTATGGGTAGGAGTCAACTAGACGGCACTTAACAACATGAAGGTACTATTCAGTGTTAAACCATGCTTGCTGCTTGCTGCTTTTTGTCTGTGTGTGCTGTTTGCACCAACCTCAAGTGGAACTTGCTAGACCTGTAGAAGTCATTATTGGACCCTAACAGGAAAAAGGGCAAAAAATATTTTTACCCTTTTGTTCACTATCACCTGATAACACAAAGAATTTGCTATCTCTTTTTTTTTTTTTCTTCAAGTTTTTATTGTGGATTGAGTGAAAGCTTACAGGGCAGATCATCAGTTTTACATACAACATATCATATACCTTGTTTCATTACAATGATTATAATCCCCTCCATGTACTCCATAAATACCAGTTGATGTAATAAATCTCTTATTCTTTAGTATATTTCTCCATGTTGACCCTTCCAAGTCTTTTCATACTCTTCAAAATCCATGGCATTCCATTATAACAGCTTCTGGTATTTCAAAAGTCAGCCTCAAATCTATGTGGGCAGCAGAGGGCCGCAACACAGGTAAAACACAGGTACACAGGTCTGAGAATAAACTCAGGAAGCTGGGGCAAGATTCTCTAAAGTATGTGAGTCAAGGCAGGGGACAGAGATTTGAAGACTGACAGTTAAGAAAAAGTGATGAGACACCCAAAAGGTAGGATGACTGAAGAACAGCAGAAGGTGGCTGAAAATGGAAAACAATGTTTGTTGGAAATTTTGTTTGCTGTTTTTGATAAATACCTGGTGTTTTAATATAATCAAATTCTTAAACCAATTTCTAGTCTTACTCTGAAAACAGAATAAAAATCAATTTCACTGTCTGATAACTGACAAAAGAACTCCATTTTCTGTTGCTTAGCTTCACTCCAGGGTATTACTTGAAATGCAGAGTGGTATTGTATGCAACAACTGAGCTCTCCATGTGACACTAATGATAACTAAGCCCTGAGCTTGTTTCCTGCACTTCAGTTTAGTGGAATCATTGAAAAGATCATTTTTATAAGTTACTAAAGGGAGTTGCTGAAAACTGGAATCAATTGAAGCTATAGTCATTATTGGAAAATAATTCTATATGCAAGTCTATTATGCAAATTATCTTTAAATTAATTTTTAATTTTTAATATCATTTCACATTCTCAATATATTTTTTAAGGTTTTTATTGTGCATTGAGTAAAAGTTTACAGGGCA